CTAATTTTTAGGTTGTTTCATAACAGCAGCATTATGAAACTGTGAGTGGGATTTCCTTAGAGTAACATAGCAATATATTATAAAGAATACAATGCAGAAACATGACTTACATCCTGATTAAACAACAAATTGTTGTAGAAAGCCTTTCTTAAAAAGCCCCTTGGAACATGTTTTTTATTACTTCAGAGACTCTTTCAGATCCTACTGGTATTTTTTTTTCTTCACTGCTCTTTTAAATGTAATCAAAGAGGACTTTTGCCTTTGTTGAAGCGTTGCAAACTAGCACCAAGTTAAAACCTGACTACAGCCAAAAATTATGCACAATATTTTCAAAATATCTAGTTTCAAAATGGAGCTGAAGGGGGCAAGTTCTTTAGTTCCCCCAATGAAAACATTGATTCTTATTAGTAAGGACACTCAGCTATAGCATGCTCTCATCCTGAGCTTTTTTTGTTGTTGTTTGTTCAGCTAAATAGTATCTCTGAATTGGCTGATTAAAATTACGTTTAGCTTTGAAGGGTGGAATTATAAGTAGGAAAAAAACAACAACATTCAGCTGTGTCTCCTAATCACTAAGGGTGCAATCTCTGCATGTAATTCTGCATAGGAGAGAGGTGCTGTGTTATTGCAAACTGTCACTGCCCTGGGACTTGGGATTTTCAACTGACAGAGGACTTGGGAGAGAAATTAGCCTTTTATGCTTGAGTTGTTGAAAATTTGTTGGCCTTTTTTCTCTAACACCAATGCCTGGTAATTGCTTCTCTCTCTTCGTCCTTTTTTTTTTGGGTTTTGGTTGTTTGGTTTTTTTCATGCATGTCAACAGCAGTCTAAACTTTTTTCAGGAATTGTCAGGTATTGTCCAGTATAGTACAGAAGAGGCATTTCTGCTGCTGACAGTAGAACATTTAATGTGTAGCATTTAAAGACCAGTAATTTTCTCAAAAACATATTGCAGCAATTGCAGTTGACTGTATTCTGCAGATTGTGAAGCCGTATTTTAGGACAAGATCTTTTTTATTGTCTTAAGTTGCCCATGTTTGTTAACTTGTCTGCCCCTCCTCCTCCCTCAAATCCCCCTCTTCTAGAAACAAAGACTTGTTTGTTCCTGCTCTGCCTGTGAGGTCTTTGCATCCTCCGCTGTGTGGGTGCAGAGCCCCTTATTTAAATGCTTTCCATAGCCATGGAAGGTAAGGAACAAAATGTATTAGAAACTCATAAGTCCTAGCTAACAGATAAAATGAAGCTCTTCACCTTTGAATTTGAAGTATTTGATAAGAGCTGTGCATGTCAGGATCATTACAAATACATGAGGTATAGAAAAAATTAAAATCTGCTATCTGAGATCACATTAATAAACATATTCTTTAGAGTGCCGATTTCTGCAGTTGTGTCCTGGTAAGTAATGGGGAATTGGGAATGTAAAAAGAAAAAAAAGCTCACCAACAAAACAAGCAAGCAAAATTACCTCAACCCAAATAAAAAAAAAAAGCTTTAAAACCCTCTGTTTTTTCCTGTCACTTGAAACAAGATGTGTTTCCCCCCCCCCCCCCCCACCTTTTCATTAAATACTGTGTTGGAAATTATAGATAATTACATTCTTCTTTGAGTTTCCCTTGAAGATAGCACGCTTGTGTAATCACCAAGGTGTATGAAAATCATTGATACTATTGTTGTGGTTTTTTCACTTGGATATGTTAAGTCAGTTAAATTCAGTTAGCAGCATCTTCTTCTAATATCCTGACTTTTAGTTGAACTTCACAGCTAAAAAGAGTTCGCTCATATAAAAAATCTGAGGACAGTTTAAAATCTTATCAATTAGAAGTCTTTTGCACTTTCCTGAAATAATAAAATGTTCAGAAACATCCTTTCAATGATGTGTTAATAATAATAATAATAATAATATAGAAAATGGAATTTTAGATTCAGTTTCCAAATAATTACCAAATCATATAATTAAGTGATCCCCTAATATTTATTGATGAATTTTAAGTATGCACCAAAGTCTCAATATCTTACGATATTCCTGCTTTAGATATGCTTTTTCTTAGAAATACTTTCAAAATGGACATTAGAAGACATTTGGGGGATCTGGGATGAGGGAATAAAATGGAAAACATCAGAGAAACATGATTTCTTTCTTAAAGTTGCAAAGTCAGTAGATGAGAAGAATGGGGCAAACAGTGGTCAGAGAGAACAGGAATAATACAAGCAGCTGTCAGAAATAAAAAGAGCAGAAAGTGGCATGAGCAGGAAATACAAAGCTGCCTCTTTGAGGAAAAGAGATACTTGTATGGTGCCTGCAGGAAAAACAAATTCATAACATGTTAAAGGAATGTTAGTGATACTGCACTGAAGTGTTTAACTAAGGTTAGACACTATTAAATTTTTATGAGGTTATCTGTAACATGACTTGGCTGTGAACTGCATTGAGGTAGGACTCTGAAACCATGATTGTATAACTGGGGACTAGACTATAAAGGGAGTGTTTTTAACCAAAAGAAAATTGACATTTTTCAGCTTTGGGTACTTAAATTCTACAAGCTAGTTTGCCTTTAACTTAAATGCGCTCATTTCAGGTGATTGTAATTTTTGAATTTTTCTCCCTTTTGACTTTACATCTTTGACCTTCCATCTTGTTTATTAGCAGGGTTTGGATCCTGGAACTTCTGAGAGGTAGCACAGACTTTGGATAGGGTTGTAGAATTAACTAACAGCAGGAGAATTCTGTTTTCTGTTGTCCCCTATTAACGTCATTTCTGCTTATTCTGTGAAAGAGAGTAAGATATACAGAGCAAAAGGCATGGTCCTGGTTCCAGATTTGAAAAGAGAGAAAGGAGGAGATCTATTCCCCACTCCAGCAATATCTTGTCTAGCTTATCTAAAGCTGCTAGATGGGCTGCCTTGCTTTTTGCGTTGTTTTCTCCAGCTTCAACTTTGCTTCCACTTTGATAAATGAAGGTTGAGTAATTGCTGTCAAGCTGCCAGCAGATACTGCCCAGTGGAGCTCCTGGTGCTTTTAGTTAAATGTTCACTGCCCACATCCTTACAGGACAGCTGTTGATGGTGTTAGGACTTTTGCTTAACAGTTTCTAGGTAGTGTCTTGGGCTATTCTTCCTGCCACTGGCCCAGAAACCACAGCATGCATGGCAAAGCTGGTCAATTGGCTTGCTCTGGTCACCTTCTGTCCTGAAGTTCAGTTCTGATGGTGAAGTGGTGCTGGATGTCTTGTAACATCAACTGCTTGATTTTAGGCTTTGATCCACAGGAATGTCATTTTCCCACTGTTCTTTTTTCATGCTGCATCAGGATGAGACTTGTAGGTTGGAACTGAACTGCAGCCCTAGTTGTTTCTATTTGGTACTGGGATCCAGTTTGTATCCTACTTCACAGGTTCACTTACCTTACAGGAACTTCTAGCATATTAGCAATTATATGTATGAAGCTCTTTAACTAGTAACTGCATGAAATACTGTTTCAAATGACTGTAAATTATTTTACAGCATTTTATGTTGGCTGGACTCATGAAAATATGACCCTTCTGCCCATTAGACTGTTGAGTCTGTGCTGGACCAGTGGATTAGCCGAAAGGGTAGACTGCAGGGTTGGGTCTCTAATTGGTTTAGTATTATGTGATAAATATATGTTGGCTTTCTTGGAACAGAAGAACAGCACTACTTTACCTTAAATTGAACACTCAAAAGACAGTGGAGGCTGAAGGGCTTTTCAGTGAAAAGATTATACAGATTTTTTTATGAGAGAATTCTCCTTTCTTATGGTAGTTAGAAATGTTAGTATTCCAGGAATCCTCTATATGATGCAAACATTAATTCAAACTAATTCTACAGATTTTTTTTCCCACTTCACCCTGTCATCCTAAAAGAACCTCTCTCTTTTTTTCTTAGTTTCTGTAAACCATAATCCTCATTTCCAGAAAAAAAAAATCCCTGCCATTCTCCCATCATTGCTTCAGCAAATGCATTCTGCAGAATACTGAGTGTTAACAGATTCAGTCTGTTACAGGGAACACGATGGAGATGGAGAGCTAATTCCAAGCTGAAATCCCCTGAAAATAGTGCCCTTGCAATACAGTTAGCTTTTCCCACCCTCTCTTTCACTCTGGGAACTCTAGTGCTCTGTTGACTTTAACCATATTGGTGTCATGTGAGGGAGAAATCAGGCCTCATGCATCCCAGTTATGTATTATTTTATAAAATAAAATTGTCTTAGGCCTTGCTTTTATAGGGGAAGGGAGGATGGGTTCTCATTGTGCATTATCTTTCAAAGCTCCATTTTTAGTCTCCGCTCCCCAGGAAAAATGTAATGCATAATTCTGGGGGATAAAAGAAAATTAAGCACTAGCAAAATGTTTTCTATGTTGATGTCCATATTTATGGCTGTATAATTCATCTGTCATTTCTGTACCAACTGTAATTTTGCATATCAAGAAGCTCTAAATGAAGTCTCTAACACTAAAATAGTGATGTGACAAGGATGTGAATGCTGGTTGCATGACCTTGCACCACAACAGGTAGCCTTTAATTGTTTTTGGTAAAAGTGAAATGATCCATTTTGTCATTCTGTGTGTTCTCAAGTTAAATGTACCTGTGATTCCACATGAATAAAACAAGTTATTTACTATTTGTGTCTGTAGTGAGAATAGTTTATTAGAAGGAAGAGAGATTTTTCTAATTCAACTTAAAATATTTTTTTACTACCACTTTTGAATTTTTCACCAGTTTGCCCATTAAACTGTTTTTAGAAGCTTTTAGAATAAGTACATGGTCTTAACCATGAGACTGTTGCGTTAATTTTGCACACATCAATTGCTCACACATGAGCATATGTTTCACACTCTGAATATTAATGTAGCTGCATGTTTTGTACTGTCATGCCTTGTAATTTTGTATATTTTTTAATGTATACCTTTTATGAATACTACTTTCCTTGCATGTATTTGTTTGAATTTATTTTTTAAATGTTTATTGTTTTGGTTCCTTAGCCATGAATCAGCGAATCAGCCAAAGTGCTCCAGTCAAACAGCCACCTCCTCTGGCTCCTCAGAGTCCCCAGGGTGGTGTGATGGGAGGGAGTAGCTCCAATCAGCAGCAACAGATGAGACTTCAGCAGCTACAGATGGAGAAAGAAAGGCTGAGACTGAAGCATCAAGAACTGCTTCGGCAGGTGAGGCCACAGGTTAGACACCTACTTCCACTATTTCTTTTGTATGTTATGTTTTGATTTTTCCAAGTTGTTGTTTCAGCAAGTCCTAGAGACTAGTGACCATACAAAAAGCTTTGAGATCTAAAAAGGTCTGAATTCATTCTCTTAATGATATCAGCTTGGTGGTGAAAGTATTTGATTTTTTTAGACTGAAGAATTTTGCTTTCCTCCCTCATTCCTCCCTCTAACAAAACTCTTTAAGAGCAGGCTTCACAAACTATAAAGATGACAGTGTGGACTATTGATATGATTGGATATTCCTCCTAATAATATATTTCTTATTCATTGAGTTCCAAGTCATGCAAAAAGTTATTTCCCACAACTACTTTAGTTCTCCCTTTAAAGTGGAGGAAAGTCTTCAGTTTTAGAACCTGTTGCAGTCTGTAGGATTTTGAAGTATTTTCAAAGTTTCTATAAGAGGAGATGCCTTGTTGCCAAAATCTTACCTGTTCAATAGAAGAGTGAGCATGAAACAACTGAATAACTTGTACTGCATTTTGAACCTGTGGCTTTCTTATCCTGAAGAATTTCAAACTTCATAATAAGGCTGCAAACTATGCCTTTCAGTGTTTTCTACTATATGGGTATGGCTGTAGCAAGTATTAAAGTGTAGGGCTGGACTTTGCAATCTCTGGATTGGAATTTGGGCTTGATCTCCTTTTGACTCTAAGCCTTCTGCTTTGATTGTTCAATCTGAGTGTTTTAATAGTTATAACTATCTGTGCTAGATACTTAAGATATTTCTTTGGGTTTTTGACACTGGCAGAAAAAGCACTAATCTTTTCTTTGAGGAAAAACTTCTAAAATCTTTCCCTTTTCACTTTGGGTGATGGGTCTTGTATCAGAAGAGGATAACATCTTAATGTCTTCAAAGACAGCTTTTCTCTTTCTTCATCACCTGCAGTATTCTGTCCTGGAATCTGACTTCCGTTATCCCCTTTGTAGTCAAGGACTATTTTGTAGGAATCTTCAGCATCTCTTGGTGTAAGATGGGTCATCTTTACAGCCATTACTTTTTATAGTACTCTAGGTAAGAATACATTGCAAAGGTGGCATCAGGACTTTCTCTCTGCTTAAGCACCTGGGCTTCTGCTGTTTCTGCTTTGCAATTAATCCACAAACAGACATTTTACCCTGTGCTAGCATGCTTCTAGGTAGGCCTTCTAATTGTCTTCTTGCCTCAGTTGTCATTGAGAACCTGACTAACTTTGGAGCAGGTGACAACCGATTCTCTTCATGTTGGTCTCCTTAGTCGTTAAGCTTGTCTGTCAAATATGCATCCTTGGTAAATCTGTGAGTTTTGTTTCACTGTGTCATGATTTTCACAGTTCTTAACTCCCTTATCCTGTCTCATCTGGCCTGTCTTGGGGGCTTGATACTACAAGATGGTGTTTATAAGACAGCCTGCATAGGTAAACCGTGCAGCTAAAGTAATTTTTATCCATCTTATTTTTACTCTTAGGCATTGCGGAATATCAATCCCAGCACAGCAAATTCTCCAAAACATCAGGTAGGCTCTAAACTGATGTTTCAGCGTAATTAGAAAAATGAAAGCATTAAATTAGGCTAGCAGGGAACTTTTTGCTACATGAAAACATTCTAAAAAAGAAGAAAAAAAACCCAACAAACAAAAAACCAGCCTCTGCCATGCACATTTTTGAATCACTTTTCTGGTCACAGCCCTAACACTGTTTTTAGGAGTGCTGCATTACCACAACTTTATATCAATATTTAAGAGCAAACGAGGAATTCATTGCACATTTTTTTACATTGAAATCAGCCTTCTTGTTTAGCATTCTTGAGGATACTGCTGTTCCAGTCCTGATGTCATCAAGATGTTTGTTTGAAGCAAACTATCTAAGGTAGTAGTTGGTGACTTTTAAGTACTGTTCATATGAATGTTCTTATCAGTTCATTAAAGCAGGTATGATCTTAGAGAAGGATATCTGTTATCAGTTAATGAAGAGTCACTTGAAATAGTTATGATTTTTAAGCATGCATAGTATAACAGAACTACTTAATAGATTAGATGAACAAAATAATTGCTATGCAGTATAGTTTTTCCATTTGGACGTTTAACTGGCTCTTGCACACATACATTTTCTGTATAGGAAACAACAATTATGAAAAGCTCAGACCAAAATAAAATTGTTCAAAATGTGAAGCATAATAAACAGCTTAATGTAGTCTTCTTTCAGTTGCTAAAGAAGTTGAACATAGAATGAATCTCTGGAAGGGTGAATTTATGGATATATTCAGAGAACTTTATGTCTACTAATGTTAACAGTATTTTAATCTACTGATTCTTAGTACCAATATTTATATTAGCTTGTACTGTTCTTTGTTTTTTAAGAAAAACCTCTGTATGCACTAGGCAAGAAAAACAGAATAAATGAAAGTATCCTCTGTTTGGAAGCCATGAGTACTGATGTACTGTTGCATTCTGAAGAGTACCACAACCTTGTATGTTACTAGTTCTGAGATACAGGAACCTCAGACCTTAGTGCTGACACCCTGGAATAAATACTTTCTTGTTTGGCAATACCAGAGCCGCTCTTAAACAGAAGCATTTTAATTGAGATGTAGTAATTTGATTAATTAACAAAGCATTAGCCACATAATGATCTTATCAATCAATATTAGATTCTATTCTGGAGGAGAAAAAAAAAAAGTCCTCAAGAATAATGGGTATACAAGAGAATAACCAAAGGAGAACTACTCCACAGTAGTGGAGTAAAATACCTTATCTTCTGGCATAATTAGGTCATTCATAGGGGATGTTTTTCTTACAGAATGCCAAAAGTCTATTCTCTGTTTTCTTCTGTGTCTGAAGCCCTATCATTGTTCACTCTTCCACTAATTTCTTCCTGTTGCCAACTCAAAAAAATACAGGAAATGGAGAAGTTTGTTATCAGTTTCATACTGTACTCTGCAAGATGCGGTTTTTGGAACGTCTTGAAATTATGGCTTTAAATCCTACAAAACAGCGAAAACTCAAAGGGACTATACTGATAATTCATTAAATGTATATGTACCGGTCACTCTGCTCTGTTTGGAGTGGAAACTGATGAAAGGAGTCATACAAAAATCAGGATTCTATTTATATTTAAACTTGCTTCCTACTGTACCTCCTGCCTGGGATCAGTTTTATTAGTCTGCACTTGCTGATGAGCCAAGGTGTGTGTGAGTGATCTGTTGGGTAGAAGAGTGGACAATCATGTCACCTTTAAAGTCCTGTAATACTAGACTATTTGTGTCACACCATCTAAATGTACTTTTTGTGTTTTCATATCACCTCAGTAAAGTAATGAATAGCCACAGGTGGAAGAAAGTGCTTAGAGAACTGCTTCAGGGTTCTGGTTCTCTAAATGCTTCTTGAGGCAAATGTAGTCTGTCTTCTCTGATGCTGCTGTTATTGAAGTCCCAGTCTGTACATCTGATCAGATCACAGCTGACCCAGTTAATCTGAAAAATGTAAAGAAAGAATTAAAATTTCTTTGTTCAACTTTTTCTTGCAGTCAGGTCTTTATTTCTTTTTGAATAAAATTAATGAAGTTTGGAGGAATTACCTGCTTCCCTAATGATAAAGCTGTGCTTGGTGGCAGAGTAATTTTTTCTCTTGCTAACTTCTATATATTCTTTTAAGGAAGAATAAAAATTAAATCTTCATATATCCAGTGCTCTTAATTCTGGGACAGCTAAGTCAATTTTAGAGAGGGATTGCCAAGGTCTTTTGTTTGTAAAGAAATTACATTACACTGGCATTCTTGAAGCTTGCATCCAATGAAATCTCTTCTATAGATGGATTTAAAACATCTGAGAAATGTTTCTTAACTTTTAACTGTATCTGAACTTTTCATGTCACACAATCACTAGGTTAGAAGGGACTGGTGGAGGTCATCTAGCCCAATGTCCTGATCCTTCTTGACATTTATTCCCTATGTAGCCTGGATACAGTACTGTGGTTGTATTTAAATCTATGATCAGGTTTTTTTGGTACTGGGTAACCATAGTGTTCCTGCCAGGTTGTGGTCACTCTGCCATGGAACTGCAGTATCCTGTGGTGACACTAACATTCCAAGTGTTGTGTATGGAAGCCTTACCTTCTGGAAAGAGCAAATAATTGCTCAGCTTAATTTTTTATAGAAAGCACTGTAAGAGACTCTTGTTGTTTGAATGAGGATGTATTTTACTGAAATTCTAAAAATGTCAAAGGTACCTATAGCAAAAATTACAACTTTCAGACTTACTGTTTATCAGCAAGAACTGTTGATACATCCAGGATATTTAAAAACACCAAGCCTCTGTTCAGTTACTTGTGCTTATCATCATCAGTTATTTGTGAAACCTTAAAAATGTCTGTCTTAGTAAAGAGATTGCATGACTTGACTTTCACTCCATCCCCACTAGCTCTCTTTCCATTTTCCTGCAGTTAGCATCTGATTGTCAACAATTTCTAATGTAGAGCAGATGTCAATCAAGTTTTGTATATGTCACAAAATTGAACAGGAAGTTACATAACAGATTTATTCCCTTACAGTGTGCTGTGGAAAGAAATAGAGGCAAATAATGTCGAGGTACTGATGGCATTATTCTTGGATGTTGCGCAGATTATTTTCTTGTGCTGAGAATGGAAGATTTCTTATTTATTTGCTGCTAATATTAGAGTATTTGCTAATAAGATCAGCATACTACATATTTATAAGTTCCTCTGTATAAGCTTGCTGATCCTGTATCTGCTGCTTGTTTCTAGCTTGTTTCTAAGCTTTACAGATCAACAAAATAATTGTATTGCTTGCTCATGTGTGTAGATCTTTATGGATAAATACTTTGTTTAAAAGTCTGTATAGTAAATCAGAACTGCATTCACTGGCTGTGCTGGTTGTTGTGACTGAAGCAGTGAATGGTCCATTTCCTGCTCAGCCCTCACAAATTGCCCAACTCCTCATTGCTGAGTTCATTTGTCTTCCATCAGTCCCCGTGTCTTCCCTGTTTCTTTTGTGTGCTGTAACTTTGTGGCCCTCACAAAAATGCAGGCACTTAATCTGAAGAAGCAATTTGTGCTGTAAATCTAGCCATAAGTGTTGTGATCTTCTCTTTCCCCTAAAACTTCTGTCCCATCCCAGGAAAAGCCTGTGGATCATCATCATCTGATGGCTGGGGGCAGAAATGTTAAAATTGGCATTTTTAAAGTAAATTTGCAAAACCAATTATCAGGATGTATCAAGTAAAATTGAGTAGCATATCATAGGTTTAATACAGTAAGAATATAAATGAGTTGCACAAGTCATTTGCCTTTCCTCAAAAGCCAGTGAAGATAAAAATGCTCTTAAAAGGGTAGTTATATAAAGTTCATTTGAACATGGTGTGAATGACCTGTAAATTAATGTAAAACTTAATCTGTCTGGAATTATGAAAAAAAAATGTGCATGAGGTCAGCCAGATAAATTACACAGTACTGACCTTATTTTAAAAATTATTTAAGGAGATGACAGATCATTTTGGTGTGTGTAATAACTAAAATTCAGCTTTTGTGCTAACAACAGGAATGATACTTTTTTTTCTTTTCCCAGAGGTACTTAAAACAAGTTTGACATACTTAAAAAATAGGATGCGATCAATTCATAGTAATCTAAGCCAGGATTTTGTCTTAGTTTTATTTTTGCCTTCAGACTTTAAATACTTATAATAGAGCACATATTTCAAAGCATGAATTAAAAGCCTTGAGTTCACATTGCTCTGTTTTGGAGCTGGGAGAGACTTGGACACTCCCATACATTTTTTTTAAGTATAGAAAACCTACAACGTTTTTTTATTGCAAAACAGGTTTATAATGAAGGAGAAATGAAAAGACTGTTCTTTAGCAACACAACTTCAGCTTCCATTTTTTATACCTTTTAGGAAAAATAGTCTTTAGGCCTTTAGGAAACTCTGCTTGTCTTACAAAATTATTAAAAATTGCCCTGTATTTGTTTCTCAGTAGCTTGTCTTTTTTGGTAATTCCTTTCTCTTTCAGACTCCCAGAATGACATAAATTTATTACTTAGATGAGTAATAACATTCTTTTGAAGGGAAAGTGCTTCTGACTCCTGTAAAAGTAGCAGTAATGCTACTTATAAATAGTTAAAAATAGTTGCAGTTTTCCATTTTTTAGCAATGTTAAAACAAAGATAAAAGCAGTACTAATTTTAAAAATACTAGTTTCACTACGTAGTAGATGCCAAAGAATAGGCAAAATATAGTTCTCTCTCCTGATTTAATACATCTCTATAGTGGGCCTTTAGAGAAATGAGATTTTTTTTTATTTTAGCTGGCTAGTGTCTTGAGCTACATTTATTTTTACCATACTATTTGAGTTTATGTATTGATGAAACTTCAATCTCTCCTACACTCTGAGGATTTAGAAAAATACAAAGGTAATTTCACTATTTTTCTGAATTTCTTGTGGCTTTGTACTGACTTTTTTTCTTAGAGTAACAGAAGAAAAATTGTGGGTTTTTTTTCTTTCCTGGTGTCAGTAGCTCTTGAAAAGGGGACATCTGGATTTCTTCTCTTCCTCACAACTATTGAATCAGGAGGCAGTTCCAGTTCCAGAAAGGCCACACAAAGGAGATAAAATGTCACTTTAGTTCATATACAGAAATGACTCCATGTAGACTTTGCCTTGTTACCACTCTTTGTGGCACTGGTGTATGATGAAGCTGCTTCTGCACTCTGCTGGCACTTTTGGCTCCTCCTCTTCATCCAAATCAGGGACTGCAGCCCAAGGAAATAAAGGTGTAATATACAGATCAAACCAAGAGGGAAGGGGAAAAGGACACAGCACATGGGTGAGCAGTTCTTGAGCTGTCTCTGGGATAGCTGGTCTAAGACCTTCTGCCTTCTTCAGATCAGTGTTCGGGAAATTCCAGGAAAGAACGCTTCTTTCTTTCTTTTTTAGATATGGATGAGTCTACCTGTATATCAGGTAACTTCTCACTGATACATGGCTGCAAACTTAGCTGTGAAGTAAGAGGTCATTATATAGGCTTTACATTTGGTTTTATTACATAACCAGTTGAAAATCATGTGGATAAGCCTTTAGAAATTATTAAAAGATGTTTAATGTCCTGTGATCTGAAAATGGGGATGGAGTATTATTACTGTTTGTTAGAACAGTGGCCAGATAAGTGGTGATGAGCAGAGGACTAGGTTTACTTGAAGTAGTAATTGGGTGTGATGAACACAGAAACCAATGGTATGCTTGTACACTTTCTGCAGAGATCTAATTAGCTGTAGTGAGAAAATTTTCTAGTGCAAGACATAAAACCTAAAAGAATATGTAGAATAGTAATCCACAGGAATAAGAGTGAAGCATATGAAGATTAGAAAAGAAAAAAAAAACCTGTCAGCAGGGAAGCTTCAATACACAGTCTGCTGGAAATAAAATGAAATAATCTTAAATTTCTTAGAAAGAAATCACTTGGAAAAAGAATTGGGGCAAAGTTAGTTTCATATACTAAGAGACTACAGTATAGTAGTCCTTAAGCTTATCATTGAAAATGGATGAAGATCTCTCATTTTAAAAGTGAGAAATATTAAGTATTGTCAAGACTGACAGGATTGGTTTTGCCTGAGATTATCTTCCCAGGCACAGCCTGGAAATCACATACTACCAGCAATGGTGACAGGATAGTCAATAGATTTATCAGTCTCTGCAATAACAGAGCTCAGTCTTGGTGGGACATTGATGATGTTTGAATAGAGTTGCTTGAAGAAAATTACTGTATTTTCACATGTGTAACTTGTGGATTACTTGTTAAAAAAGGGGAGAGGGGTCACTGGAAATTACATCAAATGTTGCTTATTTCCATCTGCCCTTAATGTGATGTATTTTATGTTAACACTTTCATCAATTAGTAATTACAAGCTTAATGAATGGTTTGATTCAACCTGGTGAGCATTCAGATGGGTAAAAATTATATGCAATTTAATTTTTTAATTAAAAATTAAATTGTAGCTTGTAGGTTTGTAGCTTCAGAAGTGCAGTGTCTAGGCCTTACTAAGAAATTACTCCGAATTTGAGGAGCTTTGGAATTTACATAGGGAACTAATCACTGATTTGATCAGACAGAAATTTCAAATGTATGCCTCAAACAGGAAGAATGAATGGAAACTTTTAGGGAAAGACTTGAAAGTTTGCTGACTGAAACAAGAAAGGTACAAAGGAAGCTAGGAACTAAATCAGAATTTAAAAGAAATCTGGATAAAATGCTATTTAGCAGAGCTATACAGGTTATATTAGGGCTCAGACAGTATTAACAATTCTTGTCTTGGTTTAAGTATAAACTTAGCAGAAAGATACTGAAGTGAACTAGAAAATCTTTGTGTAAGCATACAGATATTTATATCCATAAATACATGTACAGTGCAATCTCTGTAATGGTGGTCATGGCTGCTGGAACTTGCATTTTCATTGAAGCCAGTACAGATTCTTGCTTTGGCCTCAGAAACTTGAGTTTCATTTCATTTAACTCTTGTAACTGGAAGCAGTAAAAGCATCAATTATCTATAATGTCATGTGTTTATGTATCCAGAAAGTGCATTCAAATGCCTAACACGATCTCTCTTTCTCCCTCTCCTGCTGTTCTAGGAATTGGCTCTCCGTAGCCAGCTTCCAACAATGGAACAAGACGGTGGATCTCAAAACCCTGTGTCATCTCCTGGAATGTCTCAGGAACTGAGAACAATGACTACAAATAGTTCTGATCCCTTTCTTAACAGGTTTGTAGGAATAGCTACTAGAGGAAAGAAATTTGATTTAAAATTCTGTTTGGTACATGTAATAGTTTATTTTGAACATCTGTCCGTGCCAAGAGCCACAGCTGTAAATGAATCTTTCCTTAAATGGCAAGTCTAGTAAATGCTGAAGATTAAAAGCTGTCTCCTGTGGGAGGAAGTAGTCTGTTCAGACTTGTAGGAAGGTTTTTATTCAAAGTCATAACATGTTTGCCTCTGCATAATCTGTTGACTAACAGTCATTTCAAATTACTGACTCAATTTGTGAATAGCTCGCTGTGAGATCAAATGAACTGTGAGGCACATTTAGGATTACAGCTTGAGGTTCATTTTAAGGTTTCTCCATTCACCCCTCCCTTCCACTTCAGGTATTTAGCAGTATTTTTACTCTGCTAATGTTAGGTCTACAAATAGTGGCATGTTTCATTTTAAATGCTGTATTATTTTGAAGTGGGTATTTTCATTCAAGATTTAGAATCTTACAATATAGACTAGTCTTTCATAAAACTTTTTCCTAAATCCCTCTGACTTGAAATGTTGATTTTGTTGGAAATACTGTTCAAATTTCAGCTTGCAAATGCTTCCCACCAAACATTACAACTTTAGAGACACTGCCGCAGCTTGAGATAAGTGATATCTGTATTTTGGGTAATCCCTTTGGGAAGATTTATCTCCTACACAGACAATTATGATTAGAAAACTTGATGTTTTTTGGAGGGATAATCCTACATGGAATTCATCCTGTAGGGTGTTCTTGGGTGAGCCTCAACTGTGCTGGCTTTGTCTTATGAAATAAAAGAGACAAGACAATTTAAACCTGACTTGCTCTTGTATGGGAAGCCTCTGTAGATAGGGGATGGTATCAATGTGGTGTAGTAAAATTCTAGCTTGAACTGCTGGAAGGCTGTTGCCATCGTACATCATACAGGTCCTCACATCTTCAAAACCTGTCTTCTGACCTGAAGGAAGTGCATCTTTAGGTTTCAAATGGCCATGGCAGTGGACTGATGCAGTTTATCCATTGTGAGTCTACACACATAAAATATAAAGTGATGGATCTTTGCCATTAACTAGAAACAGAGGAAAAAGCTAGAAAGGGCAAATTTGCATTCTGCAATTTTATGGCAGATTGATATTTACTGCAAAGTGCAAAAAGATACTGCTTGCCTGGTTGCATATATGTTTGGGTTTAGGTTTTTTTTGTTTTTTTTAATGTAGCCCTTACCCCATACAAAATACTGCAAATCTGTATTTGGCTTGAGTTGATTATCTTAATTTGTGTTTTGGTCTGAAAATTTGTCCCCTTCTAGGCAGGTGTATGTGTGGCACCGCACTTAATTCTGCCATATGGGTGTGGGAAAGGGATTTTTAAGAAAGGAGATATTTCTGTGAATATGCATTGCTGTCTCAGAAAGCAGTCCAGTAGTTTCGGACTATGACCTAAAGGTCTTGTTGATACTCCTTAAGTTAAAGTTCAGACTTTAAGAAATGCTCCTTTCTATCTTTACAGGGTGTATATAAAGTTCCTCATGAGACAGTACTAAATTTAGGCCCCAGAGTTATCTATTCAGAGTTTAGGTTGTTTGATATTTTCTGCTGCCTATATAATAGAAGCATTAAAAAAATATCAGAGAATCACTACATTGGAGCAATTTGAGACAGTGCTTAGTAGTGGTTTAAAATGCATAATCAAATCTGCCTGCTGCCTTCAGTACTTACCATCATTATGGTATATTTGATTTTTTTTTTTTAATTTGATATTCATCAGTGCAGACTTCATTAGACTATTTCACCTTTTGATTTGCCACACTTGTTTATGTATTTTTGTCAGTTAGATTTATACTGGTAGTGATGGTAGTTCTCTGTTTAACTCCTAAATTGGTATTTCTTCTTTTGTATTCACATGTTTTAACAATGATTATTTGAAGAAGAATCCACTCTATTTTGGGTAATGCTGTTTAGTTGCATGTGGTAATTTTGGGTGGTGTGACTACTAAATGAACAAATCCTTGCTGAAGAAAGAGGAAATGTGTATTAAGGAGCGATTTGAAGAGAAGTGCTGGATATTCCAAGTGTGAGACCAACAGCCAAAAAGCCTTCTTCACTGGAGTGATTTAGTTCAGCTTAGGCTCAGTTCTGTTTTTAGTATTTTGTCCCATAAAGTAAACCAGATTTTTATTCACAGAAGTTCTAAATTGTTTAAGTTTAATTATTAGGATTGTATCGAATGTGTGGTGATTGTGTTCTTAAATCAGTCTAAAAAAAGAGAAGTATTTATGATTTATCTATAAAGAAATGTTAGGTTCCTTTCTTGTATGGCAAAGTTGCCTTCATGGAATCAAATATATATATATTTATATACATAGCTGAAGGCATTCTTCTGGCATCTGATGTTGAATAGCTGTTCATAATTTTTTTTGGTCTTCATACCTGACAAAAAGGCATATACTATATACTCCACAAGTACATCATGAGGAGGATTAGTATGTCTTCAAATGATAATTTGAACAGTAAATCAAGTTGATGTTCATTGAGGATGCCAGATGGAAAATCGGTAAGGATTCTCAGTGAATCTCAGAATACATAACCTGAAGAAATACAGATTTTGAAAATATTTTGTGAATACTGAATATTAGAGGATGCAGGGGGAGGGAGGTAACGATGGCCTTCACCAACTGCTTATGCAGGCCACAGCTCCTGCCAGCAAAGCTGCTCCAGCATGGGCTCCTCTCACCATGGGGCTGCAGGTGCTGTCAGCCTGCTCCAGCACAGACTTCCCATGGGGTCACAGCCTCCTTCAGGCATCTCCCTGCTCTGGCATGGATCCTCCACGGGCTGCAGGTGGATCTCTGCTCCCCCTGGCATCTCCACAGGCTGCATGGGCACAGCCGCTTCACCATGGTCTGTCCACCAAGGGCTGCAGGGGAATCTCTGCTCTGCTGCCTGGAGCACCTCCTGCCCCTCCTTCTGCCCCAACCCTGGGGTCTGCAGGCTGTTCCCCTTACATATTCTCACTCTTCTCTCCCATCTGCTGTTCAGCATTTTTCCCCTCTTCTTAAATATGTTATGACAAAGGTACCACCATTGTCACTGATGGGCTCAGCTTTGGGCAGCTGGACCACTTTGGAGACACCTGGAAGCAGCTGGCTGACATGGGATCAGCTCCTCCTGCTGTGTCACACAGTGATCCCTGCAGACCCCTGCTGCCAAAACCAGGCTATATAATCTCAACACAGTGGCCTGCTTCCCCTCCCCTTCCCACATTTTCCACTGTGGCTCTCTTGCTCTTGCTTGCTGCGCTGGCAAGTAAGAAAGTGAAGGCATGTAAGGCCCCATGCCATCAGTTTGGTTAACTGTTCTGTCAGCAAGATCATTCTGAGCAGGGTTTGTTTATAGGATGGCTTCTGTACCAGGGTTTGATTTATATTTGGGTGCTCTCTTGCCTTGACATGTGTGACTGAACAAGCAGTAATGCAGCAGTGGGAAGCAATTGAAGAATTGCTAAAGGAGTTCGAACTATTTATAACAGCAGTGACCTAAAAATACACTTCAGTGGTTGATTAAACATGGGAACATTACTTAGAAGTATTTTTTATCCTTATGGAAACATAAAAGGGTGCACCATTATTACTATTATTTTTATAATCATTATGGATTATCTGATATGCTTTGAAAGGTTTTAGCTGGGTGGGTGTGAAAAGACTAAAATTATGCACAACACAAGTAGGCCATTTCTTAAAGCTGCTTACATATGTTCTCATTAAGTTTAATTGAATCTAAATAATACAGTTTTAATTGGAAAAGGTCTGCATAAAATAAAACCCAGGTGTCTCATGCAAACAAATGCTTCAGTTTTCTATTAGAATAGGGGATTTCTCATGGTAGCAATGTTTTCAAAGCCCATAAATTAGTTGAAAACAAGCATCTATTTTATTTTTTTTCAGTGCTCTACCCTCACTTTTTTTCCTCCTTATCTTCTGTTACAGTGGAACATATCACTCCAGAGATGAAAGCACAGATAGTGGACTTAGCATGAGCAGTTACAGTGTACCCAGAACCCCAGATGACTTCCTGAACAGTGTTGATGAAATGGATACAGGTCTGGTTTGTGTACATTTTTAATGCATGTTTTCCAAATACATTTGTATCCATTTGCAATGAAAACAAGCAGTTCTGAAAAGCTCTGATACTTTTTGCATTGTTTTTTCCTATTTCCCCTATTTCTCTGATAGAAACATTAGATTTAGGAAAAAATATATTTGTAATCAAGTGTATTGGGAGGATGGGGAAATTGCTTGTAAGTAGCATCACTCCTGTTTTTATAAGGAATTTAAGTGTGTTTGCTTTTTGAAGTAATGTTGTTCAGGGCTAAGAATAGTACCTCATCCAGAGTTGTTAATACTACTCCAAAACTATATTTGACTCAGTATTGTCTTTTTCCTTCAAGTGTCAAAATTAAATTGTGCTAAATGCCATCAAAGATCTGTAAGATTTGGGTCAGTAGGTGCAAGTTGGAAACAAAGGCATGTTCTTTGTACGTCTGCATGCAGCCAAGTTATCTTTGGGGTTTGTGATGGATTTCTATGAGTCACACTGCTTGTATGATGCAAGAGGTACATGATTAACCTTTAACCAGTTGTCCTGATAAATTGTAGGCTTGGTACTTCCAGTATACTTAATATCCATCTTTGTGTTATAACTAGGTGACAGTATCGGCCAAAGTAACATACCATCCCATCAGAACCGTTTCCCAGACTACCTTGAAGCCATTCCAGGGACAAATGTGGACCTTGGGACACTGGAAGGAGATGGAATGAATATAGAAGGAGAAGAACTGATGCCAAGTCTGCAAGAGGCTTTGAGCTCTGACATCCTTAATGACATGGAATCTGTCTTGGCAGCCACCAAGCTAGATAAAGAGAGTTTTCTTACTTGGTTATAGGGGCCTCAGGGAGACTGAATTCTAAATCTGTGAAGGATCTAAGGAGATTAGGACATCTGTATCTGAAGTTCAGAACAAGCCAGTGTGGTGCACTTTGGCTTGTGTTCAGAAAAAGTAAATGAACAAATACTCAGCAAGTTTGTTTGGGTTTGCTCTTCCTTGTCCATCGCTGCTGTTATATATTGCTGACTTTTTTTCACAGTTGACTCTGAAGAACAGACATCTTCTTGATCTTTTTCTATTGCTGTTGCAACTACTGTTGGAGGGGGGTGGGGAGGGATGATGAGCCTATTTTGGATGACGAATGCCATTCCTTTTGTCCTAGTGTGCGCTTGCGTATCATTTTATCTAAGTACTCCGATTTGAGAGTTAATTTCTGCATGTCACTGCTTGTAGTTTGCTCAGCTAGTTGTCTCCTGCTGCCTGTGGCAAGTGGTAAAACATGACATACTGGGGTGACAAGCCAAAAATGATGTATCTGGTCAAAAGAAGTCAATACTGATTTGGAGATAAGACGTTAAGGAGGGCTGAAGAGACTGTTTGGCATTAAGTGTTCCTACTAGTAGCTCTTGCATTAGCCACAAAGTGCTCTTGTTTGTATTTTATGTTATAGTAAATCATGAGTCATTTTACATAGAAATATATATGAACTTTGATTGTTGCCACATACTCTAGCCTAACTTCCATTTTTCAAAAATACTTTGATTATTTTTGTTAGTTGGTTTAACTGTAGCTGTAGGATGGGAAGTAATTATAGGTGTTCTGGGTGGTTTTTTTTAATAGTGAAATCTAAGGGTTTTTTTCTGATTTCACACAGTCTTATTTAAATCTAAATTGTCTGCTTTTTTTTTATACTTAAACCATGCCTATTGTAGCCTGATAAGCTAGTGAGTACATAAACCAGTATGTTTTGCCTGTAACTTTTTTATTTTTTTAAAGGCTAGCTTTGAATGTAATCATTAGATTTCATGACCAGTGGCTTATTTTTCATGTGTATTTGTGAGACTTTGAATTAGAATCTGATTACAGCAATGTAAAAGTTAAGAGTCCTTTGTCATGTGTACAAATTTTAAATGCATGTTAAAGTAGCAGAACCATTTTAAAATTACATCTAATCTCGCTTCTGGTTTTCAGTTTTGATCTCTGAGTGAGTTCAGATTTTAAAATCCTTAATGGGAAAAAAATTTATGAAAAGTTTCTCTTAAGTTAACAGGGACAAAAATTCTGAACTATTAATATCACTATGTGTTGCAATGAAAAGGCTAGAACACCAAAAAACTTCTCGATGAAAACTTCTAAGTGTAATAGTTGTCAAGTTCTGTTTGGTGAAAAATAAGCCCTGGACACTATATATAGAAGAATGTAAAGATATGTGTTAGATGGTGACATGAGCAGGTAATGAAGTGTATATTAGTAGTAGAGCTTAGCATGGGGTAGAGGTGAATATGAATCATTTTTATTTTAACAGGAAAAGATGTATCACTAAGTTGTCTGCAGGAGTTGACACAAGTTTCCAAAGAGTATTTTTAAATGAACAAAATGAGCGTGAATCAAACTTTCAATATAAGCTAAGAATTTTTGTGGGGCTTTTGGGTTTTTTTCTGATGAAAAATAGTGTCACCAGTTAACACCTCTATAATTAAGGGCCTGTCACCATTCTCAACAGTGAGCCTTTATTTTCAAGGGTGTATAACATGACTATAAAGATACTGTAAGTGTGAAACTTAGTTTTGGAAAAAAACTCTCAGTTAGCAGGGACTTCTCTGAGGAGAGATTTTTTTGGGGTTTACTGTTTTGCATTTTTTTTCAAGACACTGATTATTTTTTAAGCTAGGAACAAATCAGCAAAACAAATAAAAAACCCCATGATATTACTATTGCAGTTTGGATTTCTTTTATGCTTCAGAAATAATTCTTGTTTAGGATGATGTAAAGAATGAAAACTCTTAACCAAATCCTATTTTAAAAACTGAAGCAGCAGAGGCAGAGATTTGAAATTTGCCACTAGAACTGTACATTTAATACTTTACATAAATGTATTAGTGTTTGAAAAACACAAAATTTTATGGATTGTTATGGGATACAGGCAAGTTTTAAAATAATAATTTTTAAAACACATTCACAGTGATATGTATTCTGCTACACCAATAATTCAGCGATTAATAGGCCACTTATATTGTGCAATGACACAGTAGCTCCTAAAGCAGTGTTATTGTGTCCAAGGTAGGGATTTTAGTAGCATTTTTTAAATTTCATTATGAATTCCTCTCTCTCCCTCCCTTCAGGAAAAGAAAAACACACTAAGTTTTCCTAACTTGAACAATCTGACATAAAACCACAACAGCAAGGAAATTCAGAGTTGATTTTATTTCAGCTGTCTTCCACAGTTGTATCCAGGTATCATAGCACATAGAGAATCACAGAATAAGCTGAGTTGGAAGGGACCCATCAGAATTATCAAGTCCAGCTCCTGCCCCTGCACCAGACAGAGGCAAGCTTCACACCATGTGCCTGAGAGTGCTGCCCAAATGCTTCTTGAACTCTGTCAGGCTGGTGCTGTGACCACTTCCCTGGGGACCCTGTTCCAGTGCCCAGCCATCCTCTGGGTGAAGAACCTTTCCTCAATATCCAACCTAAACCTCCCCTGACTCAGCTTCAGGCCAGTCCCTTGGGTCCTGTCCCTGGTCTTGAGAGTGAAGAGATCTTACTTGTCCCTCCTCTTCTCTCATGAGGAAACTGCAGGCTGCAATGAGGTCTCCCCTTGTCTCATCCAGGCTGAACAGACCAAGTGACCTTAGCCATGAAGAGTGGCTTCCCCTCAAGGCCCTTCACCCTCCTTTGGACACTCTCCAGTTTAATATCCCTCTCATGTTGTGGCACCCAGAACTGCCCCCAGCACTGGAGGTGAGGCTGCCCCAGAGCAGAGCAGAGCAGGACAATCCCCTCCCTTGCCCAGCTGGCCATGCTGTGCCTGATGCCCCCAGGACAGGGTTGGCCCTCCTGGCTGCCAGGGCACTGCTGGCTCATGTTCAGCTTGCCATAGACCAGGACCCCCAGGTCCCTCTCTGCAGCATCTCATTCCCCAGTCCATGCACAGAACCAGATTAGATGCACTGAGTGCAAACTCCTGACATGCTGTACCTCACTACAACAGAAATGAGTACAGAACAAATTCTTTTTCCTTGCTTTTGTGTGTTTGTCACAGCTTTAATATTTGAATGTTTTATTCTCATTGTAGAAACACTAAATGGCTTATACTGTATTTGGATAGCATGGCTTAGGGTAGATACTGACAAACTGGGAATCCTTGAACAGCTCTAACGTTAATTATGTTTTGTGATACTTATTTTAATTAAGACATTTCCGTTCTCTCACTTATTAGGAAACATACCATAGAGATGCTGTACTGTTGGCAATCAATATTAATTCGGATTTTTTTTTTTTAATTCTACAAATGCATTGTTTGATGAAGTGGTTAAAATTGTTTGAAATGCAAAAGTGTTTTGGGGTAGTATTTTATACTGATGTATATATTGAAACAGAAATCATTGTAATAATTGTAATAGCTGTTAGTTTTAAATACACTATATGCAGACAGATGGAGCTGTACAGAGCTGTACTGTTAACACCCGGCTAGGGCTGCTGCTTGGGAACAGGTTGCAGTGTCAGTGAACCATATGGATCAAATATTGTACCATTCAGTGTTGGCGCTCACCAATGCAAAAGGAGAAGAGACAATTTCAACATGATTAACACTACATGGTAAATTAGTACTACAGTGACCTTTTCACTTACAAGCATGTTTTTTATACAAATTAGCAGGTGTGCTTGTATAAAACAATTTGTGTTCTGTATCATGGAAAAAGTACTCTCCACATTTAGAATCACAGAATCATGTTGTATGTTAGAGAATTATGTCCAAAATTATATATATTACTTAACAATGTTATTTTTAGATATGAGCATGACTGTAAGCTAGGTACTTAAGTACATTCTGTTACATTATTTTTCTTTATGTAATACTTTTTCAGTTGTTTTATTTGGTATAAATATATACTTTGTGCTTAAACATCTTTGTTCATTTTTAACATTCAATAGTATGTAAAGATGTGATTTCCTTCAGTAAGATAGATGCATTGAATTGTTGGAATGCCTACTGTAGTGCGTCTGTTCTTGTCCCCCTTGTCATTGCTTTTGTAGTTGTAAACTCCAGTTCTGCAAATACGGTGTGCAAGCTCGCCTGAGAGACAAATGAGTTCCACTGGCTTCAGTAAAGGCTTAACATTAAAGTGTACATGTCTGTGTGCTTGCAGGAATGAAGAGACAGTGACTCTGGTGAGCATCATGCAGCTTGTGTAAAACAATACTTTAATTGCAAATGGCACTGTAGTGAGACCTGGTAACAGAACATCTGGGTATCTACTAGAAGAAAGCATCCACTTTTTGCAGATAATGCTTGCCATGTTCGGATGGCAGATATATTTTTGGCTAACTCTTAAGTTTATGCATTAATTTGTGGCAGACTATCAATAAAGACACACTATTTTCATTTCCAAGTTTTGACTTATGAATTGTGAAATATGTAATGATATACCTTGAAAGTGCCTGAAGATTTCAGTTTAAAATATCTTGACAGGTTTCATTAATTTTGACCTTCTGTATAACAGTCTGAAAGATGGCATTTTTTTAAATGTAGTGCAATTTGGAAAGGCCAAAGTCATACGCTGTTTGCATTTTAGCAGTTCCAGAGTTGTTATAGCTCAGCACCAAATGCCCCAACCCTGTGGAATTCAGCAAATTTGTGTGTTTTCTTGGTTAAGGGTACAGCCCTTGATGGATTTATCAGTTTGTCTTGTACTTCTGAGTTCATAGCCAGCTTTAGTCACCCAAATCCTTTAAATTTAAATGTAACATCACACCTTCCACCTGGGAGTAGGCGGCCAGTACCAGGGAATGATAAGGTACCAATTTTGTTTGCTGATATCACTCTCGTTTATAAGGTGGTGACATATTGCAGTAGTTGAAGTATGAGTGACCTTCTGAGGTAGCCCTAAATAGACTGTATTACTGCAAAACAGGATATTTGGTCCAGGTATTACATGCTCACTTTGCAATTCTCTTTGAAATATTTTCAACACTTAGTTAAAAATAAA